GGATTGATGGTTACAAAATTCGTATCGTAAACTATCATTGCATATGTGAACTCATACTGAAATTAGCTGTAAATGTATCCTATAAACCTAACCTAACCCACAATTTACCAATTGTGATCACCTTTAAGTATATAATTTAAGAATACGATATTAGCGCGCTCCTACATGAAAAGATGTAACTACATATGATAAATTACGAAATACAGTATTTAATTTTTTAATTATTATATTTGAATATTATATATTATTAATATAATTTCGAAATTTATAAATCAAATGTTATATATATTTTCAATTTTATATATATTTTATTTGTATATGTACATATGTGTATGTATATATATAATTTTTGAAACGATTATATTATTATTTCATAAAAACATTTTAAAATTAATATTCATTTTAAATATTTTATAATAAATATTATAAAATTGTTAACAAAATTTTATATTTAAACTAATATAAGACATTTATTTAAAAATATATTTTAACACAATAAAATTAAAAATATATTTTAATTTTATTCATACATAATGATAAACTTTATTACCATTTTCGTATTACTTATAACATTAACGATTTGATGATTTGAGAATAAGTATAGACATAACGAATATAAAGTATAAAATAAGTATGATATGCAATTTCGTGTATTACGTATTCTGAAATACCGATTGTGCAAAAAACTAGAAGTTAGAGCACAAAATAAGCATAGAATAAATTTAATATCTAATCACACAGTTCGTCTGTGATTTAATATAATTTTATATTCCACAATCTTTATTACCATTCGTGTCAAATACAATATTATCGATTAAGAATGGAATGAAACAACAGCGCTATTGAAATTAAAGAAATTAATGTCATTTTCTCCAAAATTTGTTCATAAAATGATGGCTGCGAAATGAAATAGTTATTAGTAAGAATCAAATCATAAATGCATATTTATATGCTATTCGCTAAATAATTAATATTCGATATAGAAGACGATTTTTTCATATAAGCATTGTCGAGAGAACACAATTGTAAGTTCCCGATTGCGAAATTATGGAAATTATTTAATAGAATTTTTAGTATTAGAATTTTTTTGACATCATATTTTTGTTTTTAAGTAAATAAATAAGAAAAATAATAAAAAATATTATTTTTTTTGAAAATCATAAACATATATGTATAATATTAATATTTAATTCAATTCAAAAAATTAAAGCATAAATTTAATAATATAATAAACAGAAAATGTCTTAAATAATTTTTTTACGAGATTAATTATAACAATTATGCTTAATTTTTTGAATTGAATGGCAATCTAAAATAAAAAATATATAGTATTTGATATACTTGATCATACTTTTAGAGGATCATTTATTAAGCATAATTTGAATAAAGTAAAATTGAATAAATTATGTAAGAAAAATTTTATTAATTAAATAATCTTTGGTTATTAAAAATTGAAAATGAATTTTTGAAAAATTTTTTATAAAATATTTTTTTTATATTATACAAATTATTCATGTTTTATTCATGTTTTTTATCTATTAGCATCAACTGAGAATCTAATCTATTCTTTTTTGAAAATATTTTTTATTGTAACGTTATTTTTTTTATAAATAAATAATTTAGTTTAATAAATTCGATTTATAAAAAATATCGACAAATTATTTATTTTGTAATTTATTATAATTTATTAATCAAATTAAATAACAAAATTAAATTAATAAAACACAATGTTAATTATTTAAATAAAAAAGTTAATACAAGACACTAAATTTTATAATAGAATACATATATATTTTATATTGTTAATATTTACGATTATATTTTAATTTTAATATTTTTTAATATGATTTGAATTTTGTATAATATTTATAATATTATTAAAGAATTATTTTTTTTTTTCATATTGCATATAATAAAACAAGATGATAATGAAAAACGATTGAGATAAAATGAGATAATACTTTATTTAATATAAACTTAAATTGTTTAAAATTTAATAATTAATCAATATTTGTATATTAATATTTATATTTGTTCAATTTAAATCAATTCTTTAAAAATATTTGATGAACAACATCTTATATTAACATTTTATATATTAACTTACATACATAATATTAACATATTATATATATATATATATAT